CTCAGCGGCCGAAGAAGCACCAGCTCCAATAGTACGCCTTCAGCGCAGGGCAAACCAGTTGTGCAGCTCCTGTGGAGAGAGTGGCTCCAGCCGAGACGAAGCACCCGGAGAACCAGCAGGCCCAGCACCGCCAGACGCCACACGAGCAGGTCCAGCGGCCGCGGGCTCCGCACCCCCAGGCTCAGTAGCTCCAAACTCAACACCCCCGGGCTCAGCAGCTCGAGACGCAGCACCCCGAGGCGAAGGACCCCCAGGCTCAGCACCCCCAGTCGTAGCACCCCCAGGCTCAGCACCCCAAGTCGTAGCACCCTTAGGCTCAGTACCCCTAGGCTCAGCACCCCCAGTCGCAGCATCCCCAGACGCAGCACCTCCAGGCTCAGCACCCACGCGCGCAGCACCCCCAAAGTTAGCACCCCCAGGCTTAGTACCCGCAGCAGTACCAGAGTCACCAGCAACCTCGACCGGCTCAACTGCATCTACCTGGGACACACCTGAAGGGGCAGGACTCTGAGGGGGGAGGGGATCTACCGGGGGGGGACCTGGCACAAGGAAGTGCGGTGGCGGGGGGAGGGAAGGAGTGCGGTAGGGGAAGAGGCGGTAGTAGGGTACTAACTCGTCGAACGTGACGTCCTGGGAGGACAGAACACGACGAGAGGTGGGGTGGTAGAACTGCCACCTAGGGGCGTCAGGGGGGAAGCCAAGGAAGACACAGGGAGCAGCACGAGGGGACAGCTTGTCCGCAGACAGTTTCTGGCCTTCGAGTGCTTCATTGCGTGAATGAAGCGGGCTGAGCGACAGTCCGGTCTCAAACTTAAAACTTGGCAGACGGACGGAGCATTGGAGTTCTTCTCAGACGAGTTCAAGGAGCTCTTCAAGCAGAAGGGGATTGAGCACCTGGTGTCCCTGCCCTACGCTCACCAACAGCAAGGAGTAGCAGAACGGACAAACAGAAGCCTCACGACGCGGATGAGGGCCCTGATGAAGCAGTCGGCCATCCTAACAAAATATTGGCCGTTTGCGATGAATCGCGCTGTTTGGCTGCACAACTTGCTGTTCTCGCAAAGCCTCGAGAACAACAAATCTCCCTACCGGGCATGGACGGGCAGAAAAGCAGATACACGCCTGCTTCGGGTGTTTGGCTACATGGTACAATACAGACCCCACACTACGAGAACCGGAAAATTTGCTGACTCGGCACGATGGGGCATCCACCTCGGGATCGAAAAGGAATTCAAGGCGTGGATCGTGCTGGACTACGCGACACACGAGGTGACGAAATCACGTGACTGCATCTTCTACGAGAAGCTGACTCTACCTCTTTTCAAGGAGCACTAGGAAGCCGACAAACTGCCCAAGAGGCTCTTCGAGGGCCACCGCAGCTTCGCCGTCACACGACGAAGCTGACCTTTGCCGAGGCGGAGGATACCTTCCGCCTCGGCAACGACAGTGATGACGACGTGGTGGAAGTTACCAGCTTCCACGACTGCGACCGACTTCACTACAAAAAGACTGACGAAACCGGTCTCTCCGTTCTCGGCCTCGCCGTCGCTATTCGCCACAAGGAACCGACCACAGTCTGCCAAGCCCTGTCTAGCCCAGACAGTGAAAAATGGAGAGCAGCCATGGCCGCCGAAATCGCGTCGCTGAAGAAACGTGGCACCAGGAAACTAGTCCCTCGGTCATCGGCAAAGGGGAGAAAAATTCTCAGCGGAAAATGGGTTTTCCACATCAAAACTCTCGCCGATGGCTCGGTCGACAAGTACAAGGCGCGTTAGGTGGTACGGGGATTTGAACAAGCGCACCTGGTAGACTTCACTCTCACCTACGCTCCAGTCGGCCGCCACACCTCGGTGCGTATTCTTCTCTGCATCGCCGCCATCAAACAGCGACCGCTCCGGCAAATCGACGTCAGCAGCGCCTTCCTATACGCCCTCAGTCGATGCCATAATTTTCGTCGAGCAGCCGCACGCATTCGGAGAAAACGATGGCGTTGTGTGCCTCCTCCAAACATCCCTCTACGGAATCAAGCAGGCACCTCATCTATGGCAGCAGTACCTTCATTCCGTCCTCCTTGAGCTCGGCTTCACTCAGCTGCTGCATGACCTCGGAATGTACAGGCGGGAATCGCGCAGGAAATTTATTCTCCTCGTCGCCTACGTCGACGACCTTCTCTACACCGGCGACGACACGGAGCTGCTGGACCAGTTTGAGGCTGACATCAAGGAGAAGCTGGAGGTGACAGTAAACCACAATGTCACACAGTTTCTCGGCCTCAATGTGACTCAGTCCGCATCCTCCATTCACCTCTCCGCCGCCAAGTACGCCGAAACACTTGCAAAGCGATTCGCCATCGCACCAATCAATCTCACCACCCCTTATCGCACTCCTCCTCCTATCCACGAGCCAGACACCACACCTCTCTCTCCCAACAACCATCGTCTATATCAGTAGCAGCTCGGATGTCTTTTGTTCCCCGCCGTCACGTGCCGGCCCGATCTCTCCTACATCGCAAGCCAGCTTGCACAGTACCTGAAGTGACCTGAAGGGGAGAATCTACTAGATCTACGCCGAGCACTACAGTACTTCATCTCCACTCCCGACGTCGGTCTCACCTACGAAGCTAACCTCACCGCTACTCTACAGCTCCATGGCTACGTAGATGCCGACCACGCTGGAGACATTGACAACCGACGCTCCCGCATAGGATTCATTTTCCAACTCCAACCAGCGGGACTCATCTCCTAGAACTCTCAGAAGCAGGAACTCATCGCTCTTTCGTCAGCAAAAGCAGAATTCATTGTCAGAGGTCCACTGGTGATCCCCGATCAATCCTAGGGAAGGGTTACAGGCTCGTTGTCCTTGGGGGTTATGGGCGCAGTGACCCGCTACTTAACAAGCCCTTTTATCCCAATGGTCTAGTGGTTGGGATTCTGACATGGTATCAGAGCGAGTTACGTCCTGGCCTGTGGGCCCGCCTCACGCTTCCGCTGCTGTTTTTCCGATCGCGCCCCTCGGGCGCGTGGCGATTCTCCTCGTGTCCCGCCCTCGGGTGGCGAGTGACATATTTTCTGCCCGTCGTGCGCCCCGTGGCACACGACGGTGCCCTAAACCTGCCCGCCGTGCGCCCCGTGGCACGCAACGGTGCCCTGCCCGTCATGCGCCCCGTGGCACGCGACGGTGCCCTGCCCGTCGTGCGCCCCGTGGCATGCGACGGTGCCCTAAACTGCCCGTCACGTGCCCCGTGGTGCGCGACGGTGCCCTGAGCCGCCGCGGAACCGCCCCTGGGGCCTGCGACGGTGTCCTGAGCCGCCGCGTACCCGCCCCTGGCGCACTCGGCGGTGCCCCTGCCTCACCCGCGCTTGCACTCGCAGCAGCCGCCCCTGCACCACCCGGCGCCTGCCCTTGGAGCAGCCACCCCCGCTCCTGCACTCGGTGCAGCCGCCTCTGCCTCACCCCGTGCCTGCACTCACTGCAGCCGCCCCTGACCTACCCGCGCCGACCCTCTATAGCCGCTCTGCGGCTTTCCCCCCGCCCACCCCCTCCTCCTTCGTCTCCCTGCAGCCGTGGGGGGGAAGGTATGGGGGTGGCGGGTGTTGGGGTGATGGGTGGTGTGCTTCCCTTCCCCTCCTCCTCCTTTCGTTCCCACTGCTGCACTTGCCCCTGGGGGGGAGGGTGTGAGGGTGTGGGGGAGCTGGGGGAGTGGCACTGGGGTGGCGAGTGTGGGGTCGCTGTTTCTGTGCACCGACACCTCTTTGCCGCCGTTCTACATCCTCGTGTACGTCGACGACTTGGTCTTTGCCACTGCTGGACTCGCCCACGTGAAGTCCGAGCTGCAGAAGAGACACACGTGCACAGACCTTGGTGAGCTGCGCAGCTACCTTGGCTTGTAGATCACTCGCGACAAAGCACAGCGCACCATTACCCTGACTCAGTCACACATGGTGCAGCAGGTCCTTCAACGCTTCGGCTTCACGTACTCCTCGCCTCAGGCCACTCCTCTGTCTACTCGCCACTCGCTCTCAGCTCTGCCTTCGGATGAGTCCGTAGAGCCGAGTGGCCCATACCAAGAGCTTGTTGGCTGCCTCATGTACCTGATGACCTGCACACGACCTGACCTTGCATACCCTCTTAGCATCTTGGCACGCTATGTTGCTCCTGGGAGACACTGACCAGAGCACATGGCTGCAGCGAAGAGGGTGTTGCGCTACTTGTGCAGTACGTCGGGCATGGGGCTAGTTCTTAAAGGGCGACGTTCAGTGGTCCTCACAGGTCACGCAGATGATTCTTGGGCTGACGACGAGCCGACACAGCGGTCGTCACAGGGTTACACCTTCAGCCTTGGCTCCGGCTCTGTTTCGTGGCGGTCTACCTGCTCGTCTTCTGTTCTCACCTTCAGCTGTGAGGCTGAGATCTACGCGGGGGCCATGGCTGCACAGGAGCTACGCTGGCTCACCTACCTGCTGACTGACCTAGGAGAGCCGCCTCGTTCTCCTCCAGTTCTGTACGTAGACAGCAAGGCCATGCTGGCCTTGTGTCGGGAGCACAGACTGGAGCACAGATTGAAGCATATTGCTCTTCGCTACTTCCTGGCTCGTGAGCTGCAGCGGCGTGGTCAGCTCCGCCTCACCTACGTGGCCTCTGAGGCCAACACTGCTGATATCTTTACCAAGGCCCTTCCGCCTTGTGATCATCAATGCTTCTGTGCTATGCTAGGTCTTGTGCCTACTTGGCCTCACTTGCTCACTTCTTGACCTTGCTTGTACTGTCCTCTTTCTATACCTGCACTTGCTTGTTTACCTTTATGTATATGATCTTGCATGTGAACTGGCCTTGTGGCCTTGCTCTTGTGCTCGGACTGTGTGGTGACGTTGTGATCCACCTTGAGCTTGCCTTGCTTTGCTTGACTGGTCTTGTGACCCCTTGTTCTCCCCCACTTTGCCTATGGGGATGTGTCAGGCATATATGCCATAGTCTATGTAGGCTGTAGTAGGGTAGTTCATATGGGGTACAACACTTTAGGGTTTACTACTTGTACTCCTCATTCTACTCAATGCATTCATTCTTCGTTTCTTATCATGGTATCGAGCAGGTTCCCAAGTGGGAACGCTACCTAGGGCCCACCACGATTTTTTTTCCTGCCCGGAGCACGCTTCACTCCTGCCCGAGTCGCGCTCTATGTGCCCTCCCTACCTTCGCGCCGCCCTTAGTGGCCCCTCTTACGGCCCCTTACGCCGCCCTTACGGCCCCTAGCGCCGCCCTCTACGGCCCCTCGCGCTGCCTTTACGGCCCCTTACGGCCCCTCGTGCCGCCCTTACGGCCCTCGCGCGGCCCCCTTTCGGCCCCTCGCGGCGCCCTTTCGGCCCCTTACAGCCTCGTCGCCGCCCCGTTTAGGCCCCTTGCGGCCCCTCTTCGGCCCCGTCTAGGCCCCTTGCGGCCCCTCTTCGGCCCCGTCTAGGCCCCTTGCGGGCCCTCTGCGGCCCCTCTGCGACCCCGTCGCCGCCATCTGCGGCCCCGTCGCCGCCACCTGCGGCCCCGTCACCGTCACCTGCGGCCCGGTCGCCGCCACCTGTTGCCCCGTAGCCGCCACCTGCGGCCCTGCCGCTACCTGCGGCCTCGTCGCCGCCACCTGCGGCCCCGTTGCCGCCACCTACGGCCCCGTCGCCGTCACCTGCGCCCACGTCGCCGCCACCTGCGGCCACGCAGCCACCACCTGCGGCCCCGTCGCCGCCACGTGCGGCCCCGTCGCCGCCACCTACGGCCCCGACGCCGTCACCTGCGGCCCCGTCGCCCTCCCCTAGCGGCCACGTCGCTGCCTCTACCGGCCCTGTCAGCGCTCAGCCGCCCAGCGACCGAGCCGCCGAGCAGCCCAGCAGCCGAACCACTTTTCCCATTCTCGACTCTCACCTTGGCACAACCTTCTTGACTTCCCTTAGGCCTAGGCTACTAAGCCTAGGCCCTACCTAAAACCTAAGCTTACTCTTACTTAGTAACTCAACATGGTATCAGAGTGAAGGTCTCGGGCTCGAATCCCAGTGTGTGCACTTCGGGCATCCCAGTGCGGGGAGGTGTCAGAGGTCCACTGGTGATCCCCGATCGATCCTAGGGAAGGGTTACATGCTCGTTGTTCTGGGGGGTTATGAGCGCACTGACCCGCTACTTAACAAGCCCTTTTATCCCAATGGTCTAGTGGTTGGGATTCTGACATTCATCGCAGCCAGCGCAGCTGTTCGCGAAGGACTATACCTAATGGAGCTCCTGCAGGAGGCGAAAGTGACGATGAACGGGCACTTCACGTTACTCTGCGACAATCAAAGCGCGATAAAGATCGCGAACAAGCCCGGCTTCGTCAACCGCACCAAGCACATCGCCCTTCGCTACTTCTTCGTGAAGGATGAAATCGACAAGGGGAAAGTCAAGCTGACGTACTGCCCGACCGATGACATGGCAGCTGATTTCCTGACGAAAAAGGTGCCACGTCAGCAGTACCAACGCTGCACCGACCTCTGCGGGATCACTAGGAAATCCCACGTGGCCCACCTTCAGGAATGAAGGGGAGTGTTGAAACAACCGAAAGGTTACATAAAGCATTCCCAAAGCTGCTCCACTGTATCTGTACCGCAATAGCTCATATAGAGCATGTGGAATGTCGAAGGTCACCCGAAGGTCAACCGTCTGAGGGAGTTAACGGTCGTGACCCTTGACGATCCAGTAACCGCACGACAGTTAATTCACTGCAACATGGTAACTGTAGAGGATAGCAATAGTCGCGGTTACTGTAGCTATGCAATACAGTTAATAAGGGAATTTACCCCTCAGAGTACATGGCTAGCTAGATTTCTATTTAATCTCTTGTACTCCTTTCCTTCAATCATCTTGTTCTCTTTCAATTATTATTCAACAAGGTCACTACCAGGCCCTCAGATTGGTTTGAGGGTATGCTGATGGATCAGCGTGCCGCGGCCAACGAGGTGTCCAAATCAGCGTTCACGGTTTTTTTTATACTGATTTTGCCAGTGTAAAAATCATACGTAAACTGAGCCAACAGTGTAATAAGAAAAACACTATAGCTGAAACCCCAGTACAAGGTGTGTGGTGTTGTTGCTGTGATAGGTTCCAGCGAGGCTAAACACTTCGGCGCGCACCTAATATCTGTGCAATGCATGCGAAAAAATGCCAAGTGTGTGGGTGGGGTCTCAGGAATCACGGGAAGGTACAGATTGTACATGCGTACACTATCACCCCCCCCCCCCCCCCCCCCCCACACGCGGTCAACTCCGTTTCAGTGTGATTCACGTCACTATACTGATTCGTCAGTGTTTTTGTAAAGAAACACGCAAAATGGTCAGTGTGACAAGGTAGGATATACTGAAATTTCATTGCAAAATTGAAGCATATGCTGAATTTTCAGGGAAAACGAAAATCACAGCTACAAAATCAGCGTAATCAGCGTGTTTTACGCTGATATCTGAGGGCCTGGTCACTACAGAGACTTCTTTGTTTCATCTGAGACTTAACATATCCTATCCTATCTACTGGATCCTTTGGTTATATCAGCAATCACCATTTTATTTATTGTACGGGTAAACCCTGGAAGATGAAATATCAACGTGCTGTTTTTGTTTTGTTTTTGGCTTGCCCGAAGTGTACCGTAATTGTTGGATTATGTCAAGTATGATCTCCTTTCTGAAAGTAGTACGGTAGTTCAACATGGGGAAACCGATACTCACAAAAGTGGAAGTCGGTGATATGAATAACGCGTATTGCAGTTTGGAGCCAGCTAGTGCCGAGCATTTGAGCCCCGCCAACATTCCCCGTTCCCATCATTTCCAGCACCAGCAGCTGCGATCCACCAGACCAGAGCTCACTGTGCAGGAGTCCCATCAAGCCATGGCTGCTCACGATTTCGTGTTTAGCTGCATAATTCGGAGAGGTACCACGCGACGGTAATTCACATTGACAGTTTTTAGTCGATGCTAACCTGAACCTTGTATCTGCAGAGGATGTTCCTCTTCTCTCACGCCGGTCACTATCCGCAAATCAGCAATGGGAGAGAATCAACTTGGCCACCACGACCTCGGCCCGCAGAAAGACGAGGGATTCCAAGAAACGTAATTGATATCTTGTGGTTCTTTGCGATTTCTCATATTAATTTACGGAACTCCATAACACCTGGTCTCGGTTCCACAGGTGAATTCAAGTCCTCCAGATTTCTTCTGGACTTGGTTGAGGACCAAGGGGGGTTCGAATTGAACGTACCAGAAAGCATTCCATTAAATAAGCTTATGGAAAATAACAGGTTTACTTCCTGCAAGAGAAAACGTGACTCGCCAGCAACAGAGAATGCGAATATGGCTCAGCGCGTCGGAGACCGTCGGTCGTTGTGCACATCTGTCTTTTCGCCAATTCAGACTTTTCTCCAGTCGCTCATTGCTCACTGAATTTCGAAGGCCGTGGATGGCACGAGTTGCCAAACTGCGTGTGGATCATTGCTTGTTCGAGGCCCATCGTGGCTGTGCTTCACGGTTAGCAGTTTATCTCTAATTAACTTCCTCACTGACGTGACGTTTGTTGTGAACATACCCACCTTGTACAAATGGACTTACCGTACCATGGCAGATGATTGTGACTAAAGAGACATTGATTGAACATGGTGCGTGGTAGGGCCCCAACAGGCTTGTTTTCCGCTTGGGTGTCAATTCAACGTCTCAATTCGTAGCAGAAATAAGTAAATGAAATACCGCTTAGAGAACCCAGTGGACAGCAACACCGCCCAAGTTCTAGGAGGTGGCGATAAACATGATACCCTACTTCCTCTGGGAGGAGCGTGTGTGGTAGTAAGGCGATGCTTCCATTGCAGTAGAATACCATTAGTACCACGGGCTAGCAGCTTCCTCCAAAGAGCTTCCTTTTTCTTTAAAAAGGCTCCACTAAAGCAGGCACCCCAAAGCATTAAATCATTGCAACTGCATGTGCCCGCCAACAAGCAGCAACTTGTGAGCACGAACAAGCATATGGACTTCCAAATGTCATCATTGAGGAAGTGAAGTTGCTTGACATTTCCCTCCCTCATACTACAGGGTGGGAACATCAGAAACCCTATCCCAGACATCTGGCTACACAACCTTTACACACTGGCCCTGAATGGAAGTGGTTGAAAACAATACGAAAAGGCTTGGAACGTAGGAGCACATCAACTGCAGCTCCATTGCAGAGCGATGCTTACTACCACATGGTGCTTCCTTCCATCAACCTCCCCATGATGGCCCTCTCTTCCAACTCTCCTCCCCCCATCCCCTTCAACCCCCCTGTAAGCGACCTCCTCAGTCTCCTCTCCAATACCCCCACCAGCCTCTTCCTCCCTATCCGATACCGCAACACCACCTCCCTCTCCCTTGCCTCCCTCTCCGCTATGCCCCCTTTCCTGTCCCCTCCGTCCTCCGCACTCTCCTCACTCTCACTTTCCTTCCTTTCCTTACTCCCCTCATTCTCTTGAATCTCAATAATTTCCTCCCTCCGACCGTCCTCCCCTTCTCCGGGACCCTCCCTTCCTCCTCCCTCCACAACCCTCCTCACATTCTTCCTCTTCCCCACCCTCTTTGTCAACCCCCTCCTCTCTCTCGCCAACAAGCCTGCCAGTTCCTCCTCATCCTCCTCCAACCGGCTTCCAAACCCATCAATAACAGCACAACAACGCGCGTGTATGCCATCCAGAGCAGCTTTCAGGCATGCAAGCAGGCGGGGAGAGAGGCGGGGGCGCAGGGGGTGCAATGCCGGGTGGGAGATGCCCCAGCAGTAGAGAACGCTGGCACAGGCTATGGGATGGTGCCGGGGCTCTGTTTGTCGGGAGCGGGGGAGGAGGATTTGGGGTTTGTGGGGACGGAAAGAGGGGGAACAGGGGGCAGAAGGGCATGGGGTGAATGGGAGATGCCTTAGCACAATGGAGGGAACAAGCACAGGGGCACAATGAATGAGAGGAGTTCTAGCGATTGCCAGAACAGGCCACATATTCACCAAGACCAAACACTCGCACTTGCCTCAACCGCTCACTCGCAATCACCCTGACCGTAGATGACGAGGAGCCAGAGACTGGAAGACACTTGTGCATACATACAGCACTGACGGAACACACTCGCGCATACGATACAACACACGCTAGCACTCACCGCGGCCATAGACAAAGAGGTGCCAGAGAGCAGCAAAGGAGGCCATGATGCGAGGGTCCACATGCCCATGCGGCCACACCGCATACCCCCTCTCCGCCTCAAAGCTGTACTCTGGCCCATACAGACTCGCCCCGTACTGCAGGTACACTGTTGCTGTTGCTGGTGATCTCTCTGCTGCTGGTGAATCCTTTCCCGAGGGGCACTTTGACAAAGATTGTTTTTCTGGTGAGCTCTGCGCTGCGGCATTTGTTTTTCCCAGTTTTTTAGAGAAAGCATGTGCTTCTGCACGTTTCTCAGCGTCACTCTGCTTTCCCCCCTTCTTCTCATCCTCTTTCTCCGCAGTCTTTCCGTTCTCCTGCAATCTCGCCCCCCGCTCATCTGCATGATTGATCTCCATTCCGGCACCCTCTTGACTTCCCTCTCTTGTCTCCCCCCCTCTTCTATCCGTATTTCCTTCGTCTTCCGTCCAGCCATTCACAGCTTCACATGCTTTTCTCAAACCACTTTTGCCATTCCACTTTCTGTTCCCATCTTCTTCCTCCTCCACACTACCCCCCCTCGCTCCGCTCATCTCCTCTCTTGCCCTCCCTCTCCCCCCGTCCTCCTCATCAGCATCTAGTACCACCACAGCTCCCTCCTCTTGCCCATCCTCACACCTTGCACAGCTAGTTTCACATCTAGAACCTCTGTTTTCCACCTTCTCTCCACCACTACTCCCACCACCCTCCATCACTCTCTCCCCATCACAACCGATCTGCACCAACTCCTCCTCTTCTCCATCTACGCCCCCCTCACAAATGGTCACCCTCTCCCTTCTCTCCCCACCGTTTCCCCCATCAGTTCGTCTAGTAGTCTCCTTCTCCCTCTCCCCTTCAATTTCCCCCTCAATCTCCCCATCAATCTTCCCCTCCCGCTCCCCCTCACCCTTCCCCTCACACTCATCCCCCCTCTCCCCCACCCCCTCCCCACCTCCATCCTCCACAGTCCCAATCAGCACCCTCACCACCCTCCCCACACTCTTCACACTCTCCTCCACCTCCCCCATCACCCCCCTCGCCACCTCTCCATCCTCCTCCCCAAAATCCCCGGGGAAATAATGCTCCGCGAAGAACTCAAGCAGGTCGGAAGAGGAGCGGAAGAGGGGGAGGGAGTCGAAGGAGTTGGGGTGGGGGGAGAAGCCGTAGGAGAGGAGGAAGGAGTGGGAGGAGCGCACGCCGTAGTGTGTGAGGAGGTCAGCACCGGGGGCGATGGGAGCAATGGCGTGGAACAGATAGTGGCCTGATGAGGCACGCTGGGATTGGGGGAATGGGGGCGTGGGGAGGAAGAGAGGGGATTGGGAAAGGAGGAAAAGGGGGGGGACACGAAGCTACTTTTCTATGAGACACGAAGAGCTTGGGGAGAGAGGATGGTGGAGGAGGGAAGTTGCAAGGAGAGGGGGATGCGAGGAGAGGTGTGGCGACAAGGGCCGCGGAAGGTAGAGAGTGAGGGGCAGTGGGGATGAGGAGAGTGGAAGAATGGGGAAAGAATGAAGGGACAACGAGAGTGGCAAACGATATGAGGAGCTCTGAACGAGGGATGGCAGTCAAGAATGGGCGGATTGAGAAGAATAGAAAGCATAGGGAGGGATGAGGAGCGTAGGGAGGATAGGGAAGGAGGAGAGGATGGGGAGGATAGGGAAGGAGGAGAGGATGGGGAGGATGGGAAGGAGGGGCGGGGGGCGGATTTGCATTGTGGTGTTGGGGAAAAGCAGCAGCGCTTGGTTGACGGCCCACGCAGCGCAGCAATGACCTGGCCACTGACTAACCTTACACCATTCGTTCTTACATCATGGGCCCAGGAAGGTATGCGGGAGTGGAAACGGTGGGGTTTTGGGTATGGCGAGGGTGATGGTGAGAACAAGAGGGGGGAGAGAGGGAGGGAGGGAGGGAGGGAGGGAATGAGGGAGGGAGGGATGGATGGAAAGGGAGGGCGTTGGCACTGACAGTCCAGGTGACGTTGTAGTGCTCGCTGTGGTTCATCAGATCCGCCAGGGGCAGCAGCGCCCCCCAGCTGTTCTCCTCACACGCCGCTGCTGCTGCTGCTGGCGCTGCTGCTGGCGCTGCTGACGCTGCTGCTGCTGCTGGCGCTGGCGCTGCTGCTGCTGCTGCTGCTGCGGCTGAAGGTGGCAAGGAGGAGGAGGAGGGGTCAGCGGAGGCGGAGGAGGGCAAGGAGGGAGGGGAGGGGGAGGAGAAGGTGCGAGAGGAGATGACGGTCATAGCCCAGAGGAAGGCGGAGAGGGGTGCATGGGCGATGAAGTCAGGGGCGCACCGCCGGTACTCCTGCTCGTACGCGTGCCGGTATGCCACTGCCTGTGGTTGGGAGGTGCGGTGGGGTGCAGCATCAGGGTGGCTGGTTGGGTTGGAGGTTGGCAGTGCAGCATGAGAAATGTGTGAGGGAAAGAGGAGGGGCCGGCCATCGAAATGATGAAGTTGTGGGGGATGATGCGGGCAGGGGACAGTGCGCCTGGTGTGAAGAAGATGAATAAGAAAATGAGCGAATGATGCATCATCTTTTGAGGCGCCTCGATAATGGTATGCCATCAGCCATCCAGTTCGCATTTGCACTCCAAGTAGCCCTCCAGCTTCCAACCACATGCTCCCACATTTGTCCGTTTCCCTCACGCCGCATTTTTCCATCCACTGCTTTCCTTCCCCTTTCATATCCTCCCCTCCCCCCTGTGCTCTCCCCTCCTCCCTCCCCTCCACCTCTCCCTACCTCGAACCATCCCTTCAGTAGGGCATAGCATAGCTGCTGACCTTTGAGTCGAATTCACTCACTCCCACCATGAATTCCATGAAACGCCACGTGATAGAAGTTGTGGTTGAGACGTCTCAAGACTCAAAGCACAACCGTCATCACGTGGATATCTGCTGTGAGATTCTGCTGTCATCACGTGGGCGAGCCCAGAAAATAGTGTCCTGACTCCCGGTTGGTTGTTATGAGGGTAGGATTCTCATTGCATGCATGGAATGGAACGGAATGGAATGGAACGGAATCGCGTGTGCAACCAGAAAGCTCTCACCATGGCTTCAGTGGGGCGCCACTGCAGCTGCTGGATGGTGGCGAGGGGGAAGAGGGACGGCAGCGGCACGTGGGGGGGCAGCGTGGCGAGGTACGGCGCCCATGGGGAGGCGTGCCCCTTGGACACCTCTCGTAGCAGCCATGCTGCCATGCCCGTGCTCGCTGCCCACCCATTGGAGGACGCTGGTGCTGCTGGTACGGCTGGTGCTGCTGGTGGTGGTGCTGGTGGTGGTTGTGCTGCTGATGATCCTGATGGTGCGGATGGTATGGCTGATGGTGCTGGTGGTAATGGTGGTGCTGTTGGTGCCGCTGCTGATCCCGGTGCTGCTGCTTCTCCTGTTGCTTCTGTTGTTGCCACGACTGTGCTTCTTGTCAGGCCTCTCTTAGGGGATGGAGATGATAAGCGTGATGGCGATGGTGCTGGTGGTGGTGATGGTGATGGTGATGGTGAGGATACTAATGCTGCTGAACTCGCAGCTACTGATGCTTCAGCTACTACAGTGCTGCTATCACTACCACGTGCTGAGTCTGCAACATTGCACCCCCGGTCTTCCGGCAGTGAACGCACGCTGCTACAGACATCGCTGCTACTGCCGCCACTGCTGTCAGAGTTGCTACCGCCACTACCACCAGAACAGGGAGGATTTGTACAGACGCACACAGCAGCAGCGCCACCATCTCTCGTGCTCTCCACGCCCCTCCCCTGCCCTCTGCTGCATCCACTGCTACTACCACTGCCACTGCCACCACTGCCACCTTCAGTGAATAAAGGGTTCCCAGGCTCTAAGTCTCTGTTGAGGCCTCCAAGTCCCTCCTCGCACCGCTCCTCCTCCTCACCCTCTCCCTTCCCCTCTCCCTTTTCCTCTCCCTTCCCCTCTCCCTTCTCCTCTCCCTTCTCCTCTCCCTTACTCTCACTCCCTGGGTTACTCCCTCCAGGATTAGAGGCAGAAGTGGGCGTAGGAGGAAAGGGCGAGGGGGAGCAAGAGGAGCAGGGGCAGGGGTGGGTGTGAGGGAGCGAGTAGGCGGGGGCGATGCGATCGGGAGTGATCTGCAGATTGGGCGGTATGCAGAAGAGCAGCTCTCCTGGCGCTATGTGGCGCGATGCCACGAGACCCAGGTCAGGCCTGGGGATAGTGGGGTGCAGGAGAGAAGGTGACGAGGGAGGGGGGAGAGGTTAATGGGTGGAATGAAGTGGGAAGGGAGGTGCAGAGTATGCAGAAAAGCAGCTCGCCTGGCGCTATGTGGCAAGATGCCACGAGGCCCAGGTCAGGCGTGGAAGGGTTGGTACGGGTGGGTGGAGATGAGGGGAGAGTGGATGCGATGCGAGAGAAGGATGGGTTGGGAAGTGAAGGGAAGGAGGATCATGTGGAGGGGAAGGATCAATGAATCCAATACATCGAAGCTCAGTGGACAGAAAATCAATGAACTAAATGAGCTGCAAGATTCTATGCTGCAAGCAAGTACACAAAATCCCCTGCCCTCGTTCTTTCACCCCACACACAACACAACCCCTTCCCATCCCTCGTGCTCTCACACCCACCCCCACATGCGACCTCTATTGCAACCCATGCGTATCTTTGCTTACCCTTTTCTCTCTCACCTGCCTCTGGGACCAGCATGTCTGGATCCGGGGGGCAGATGCAGCAGCGGACACACCACCACCTGATAAGGTGTGATGTGCCATGCCATGCCACGCCATGCCATGCCACATGCCATGCCACACCACCCCACGCCATGCCGCCCCAAAGACACGGGAACAAAACAAAAGAGGTGGGTTGCGAGTGCAGTAGACAGGGTGTGGGAGAGGGGAGAGAAGACGCAGGAAAAGGGAGGAGATTTGCAATGTGCAATGCAGAGAGTAGAGCAGATCCATAGACGGTTGGTCAAGTGTGAGTGCAGCAATCTGCGTGCTTGCAATGCATTGCATGGCACCGCATGGCACTGCAATGCATATGATGTCATCATTCCATGGCCAGCCATACAAGACAGATGCATGCACGCACGCACCTTGAAGGGCCATGTGTGTGGGTCAGGAGTAGCGCCATTGGCATGCAGCCACAGCAGCAGCTCCCCCACATCCACCTCCATGCCCCCCATGTCCATTTCACCCTCCCTGCCCTCAGTGCCTTCCCTTCCCTCCCTTCTCTCCCTTCCCTCCCTTCCCTCCCTTCCCTCCCTTCCCTCCCTTCCCTCCCTTCCCTCTCTGCCCTCCCTGCCCTCCCTGCCCTCTCTGCCCTCCCTGCCCTCTCTGCCCTCCCTACCCTCCCTCCTCTCCCTCCCCTCCATGCCCTCCCTGCCTACGCCAAGGCATCGGTTCGTGACGCCATGAGTATCATCATCAGCACGCACATCAGCACGCCCATTCCAATCTCGCTCCTCCCCCAACGCAGCCCTGCCCCCATGCGCTCTGCCTCTGCTGCTGCCACCCTGCCGTAAAACCCCGGCCTCGTGCCCCCCTCTCCGCCCCACAGCCCTGCCTCCTCCCTGTTCTCCCCTCGCACCTGCCTCCTTCTCCCGGTTGTCCTCCCTTCTCCCTCCCTCCTCCTCCTCTTCCTCTTCCTCCTCCTCTTTCTCTTCTTCTTCCTCCTCTTCCTCCTCCTCTTTCTCTTCTTCTTCCTCCTCTTCCTCATCCTCTTCCTCCTCCTCCTCCTCCTCCTCCTCCTCCTCCTCCTCCTCCTCCTCCTCCTCCTCCTCCTCCTCCTCCTCCTCATATTCATACTCACACTCCCCCTCGTCATTCCCATGCATCACTGCCCATTCCTCACCATCATCCTCCTCTTCTTCCTTCCCCTCCCCCCCCTCCTCCACACACTCTCTCATTTCATCCCCCCCCGCTGGCTCCTCCCCCTCCTCCCTATCCTCCCCATTCCTCCCCTCCTCCACACGTTTCCCCCCTCCTTCCCACCCACTCTCCTCCCGCCCACGCACCTCACCACCCATCACCGCTCTGCACTCCTTCGCCTCCTCCCCATCATCACAAAGCGTCCCATCCGCCCTTGCCCGTCTCCACTTCTCTCCTTCTGCCTCGCTGCCACCGCCACTCGTAGCACCACGTGCAACGCAAGTCGCCATGCATACACGCAGCAAGCCACCACGAGCAGACCAGTTGGTTCTAAAGAACCACTCCAACGTCTCAGCGGCCAGCTTACGCTATCATATACGCGCGCAAACCACTCTCGGTTTCCATACCCACTCTCCTCCCGATCTTCCCCCGCCCATCCTCCTCACCTTCCCCCCCGCATCCCCTCTATCTGCGTGCAACGAGAGCTGGGAGAAGGTGGAACGGTCGTACCAATACTACTAGCCGACGTGGGGGGTTGCGGGGAGCACGAGCGCGCGCGGAAGCTGCTCGGGGATGCGGAGGACGGGCGGAAGGTGCGGAGTACGGGCGGAAGGCGCGGAGTACGGGCGGTAGGCGTGGGGGAGCACAGCGAAACGGCACTAGATGAAGTAGCAGTGCGGAAACTTGGCGTGCCCTGGGGGAATGAGTATCGTGCGGCTCGGGGCGAGGAGCAGGGCTAGGGGAAAGAGAAGTGAGCCGATTCGCGGGCAAGCGGGCGAGGCGGCGGAGAGGCGCCAGGAGCGGTGGCGTATGCAGGGGAAAGGCGATTCGGCACGAGTCTTAGTGCAAATGTGCTACACTCCTCCCGCTAGCTACCCATCCCCCACTGGCACCGCACATTCGCAATCAGGCTGCGGAGGTAGCACGTTGGCATTGCGCGCAAGTCGTGCGCGTGCACAGAATCAACCGCGAATCCGGATTTTATGAATTTTCGGAGACCACTGATCACCTCCGCTTTCTGTTGGCATTCTGCCGCACAATTTTAACCGAGGGTTGATTTTGTGTGTAGTTCCTGACCGCAATCAAACAAGTACCGAAGAAAACTTTATCGAACTCCCGTCCAATACATGATCCCTCTTGAACGCATCAAACCGAACTAAATCACACTGGGTTCTTGTTTTGCCATTGTCGGACCAGAAGAAAACTGGGAGATTAGGGCGTGTCTCTTTTTTGACGCTGACTGTTCGAACCGTGGACCGTCCGGCTCGCGAAAAGGTTACCTATTTCGCATTGTTTCGCAACTTTTTCGCCATGGTCTTCGCGATTTCGCCCACTGTTCGAAACGTCACATCACTTTTCCCTCCAAGCAACGGTTCACAATGTGGACCTTAGTCAGTTCGACGTGCAAACGGACGGAATTCAATCTCTGACATCTGATTGGCGCGCGAAAAAACGAAAAAAAACACCGAGCCGCATGTCTAAACAAAATATTGGGCGCGCGGCGCCAAATAGAACATTGAACCGTAGACACCTCCACTAGCCCGTCTACACTACAAAGACGATTCCTTTTCGAACCGAACCACCACAATCAGCACGCAATGGAGCAGTCCAGCGGAAATGAGAACTCTGGACCGGCAAACACCACACCCAACACCTCCGTCCCTACTACCTCTACCCAACCTGATCCGGATGCTGCTGCACCAGAGACACAAGAGTCTCATATTCAAAATCCCACTCCCGCCAATGCTCAAACCCCGACCACAACCACCAACGCACAAGTAGACTGGAGGGTCTTCCACATCCCGTCTCCCACAGCCTCATACGACGCCGACGACGACTACGGACTAGGCGCAGATATGGACAACGCCGCGACGCTCGGGGAGGTTGAGGAGCAGCCCGCTGAGTAGGAGATGTCCCCGACCCGCGAGACCACCGCTCCGTCACGCAGATCTACGGGGAGGACGCAGCCGCGCTGGACCCCAGAGGAGGAGTGCGAGGTCCTCACCGCTTTCATCTCCCGCCAGGCCCAAATCCGCGCGCGTACGGGTCAGCAAGGCCGAAGCTGGTATCCGCTCATCCAGGAGGAGCTCCTGCTGCAAAATCCGGCGTGGCGCCACGACATTTCCGCTCTTAAAGCCAAGTACAATTGCATGAAGGAGCAGTGGCGCCGCATCAACGATCGCATCAAGCGCTCGGGGGCGGGACGCGCCACTGGTCTGCCTCCTTGGTTCCACCTCGGCGACGCTTTATGGGGTGAGCGCCCAAGTACCATCCCCCCCGTACTTGCAGGCACGGGCGTCAATCGAGCCACAAGTTCCAGGTCTGCGACGGTAACGCCACCTCCCGCAAACGCTCGTCGTCGGCCATCTACAACGAATGCGACGTCCCCGTCGCATACACCGAATGCCGCCTCGAACACGGACAGTCCGGCTCCCAGCATCGCGCTACCACCGCCTTTCCCGCCACTCCCGCATCCCATACCCTCCAACCCCCCGGTGGCTATTGAGACCACGCCGACTGGAGTGGTGGCGCCCACATCTCCAACTCCCAATCCCCCGCCCGCGTCACCTGCACCTTCCCCTGCTCGAGACAATGCAACCCGCCGCGGGAATACGTCCCCTCTATCGCCAGACACCATCCCGTCGGCGTCTCCTACTGCCGCCGCGACGGAATCAGGTGCGACGACGGGTGTCTCGATCCGTGGTCGTCGCCAAGTCGGGGGAGCGCTCGCGTCGTCTGATGGGCAAGAGGGATGCAGCCGGCATGCATGGTATCAGTATCCCCGCCAGCAGCCAGAAGGCAAGGTTGGCAAGGGGGGTAACACAGGATCAAAGGGCCAAGGTCGGAAATCTACTGGGCGATCCAGAGCCCAGAGCACGGCGGATCTTGTTAGAGAGCTCCGCGACCATAACGACAAGCGTCAAGAGGAGAACTGGAGCAAGTTCGTGGCGCTTACCCGGGAGGTGTTTCGCGGCTTCGCGGATGAGCGACGCAGTAGGAGGCGTAGATCGCCGCAGTCCACCTCTTCATCTGAAGACGAGGCGTGAACCCGCGGACCTCGGAGCCGGTGAGTCGAAGCCGTGACGCCGGACCCTCGAGCCACCAACGATTCCGCTCGCTTGATGGGCCAAGTCGATCGCGGCTACCGATCGTCAGCTCGATGTTGTGCATCGCGACGCACGCGCTCACGACCTGCGGGACGCGGTCACTATGGCACTCCATACGAGCATCAAGGATCCGCCATTTCCCCTTCAATCTCCCGTTAACTTGTTCAACCACCATCCGTTGCCTTGACTGTTGTGTGTTCCATTTGTCCTTAGCCCTTGGCAGAGCTCGTCCCGGTGTAGCACGCCATGGGACGCATGTGTAGCTTTTCAAGGCATACGCGGCGTCGCTCACCAGCATGTAGTTGCCTAAATCCCCTGCTTCCATGCACTCTCGGAGGGGTGAGTTGTTGAACACCCGCGCGTCATTCACACTCCCCGGATAGCCGACGTTGTAGTCCCAGATAATGCCGTTGCTATCACAAGCTATCTGTAGGTGGATAGAGTAGAACCCCTTTCTGTTTTTGAAGTCTTCTTTGTCGCGTCCGAACCCCCTGCATTCTATAAAAGTCCCATCCAATGCCCCTATGACACCCGGTATCCCCCCCTCGTAAGTGAACTCTGCCGCCATTTCTGCACATTGGTCAAGGGTGGGGTGTGTAACCCACAGAGGCTCCAACACGTTGAAAATGAAGGCTATGAACCTGTAGATGAGGCGGAAGGCATGTTGAGGCACAACACCAAATTGCAATCCCACCTGACGGAATGTGCCACCCGTGCCAAGATACACTAGAGTCATAGCCACCACTGTCTCAATGGGCACTACACGACGACGGTCCCCGTTCCGCGTTATCCACGCCTCCACTAGGTAGTCAAACACTGCCCGATTAACTCTAAACGTTTCAATGAATATGCGGTAAGGCAAGGAGTCGAGAAGGACATCCCATCGTGCCCGCTGCTTCCTACGGTCATTACGCATCGTGTTGCGGTCATCGTCCTCAAGCAGTAGAATAACATCCGTGAGCTGTTCAAAGGCTGGACGGACGATGAACTCGTGGTAGCCTCTGTAAAGCAGGTGGAGCACTGATAGGAGCAGCCTCCTAGACATGGCGTTGCTTTCGTTCTGTTTTGATAGTGCTACGTGTGTGTGCCTCGACGTTGTTTGCTGAATTGGTGTGGTATAGCCTATGTAGAAGGTTGACGATTGGCTTTCAGGGGGCATCGAGTCGCGGCCTGGCTATGCGAAGTTGGCGATGGGGTGTGACTGAGGTTACGTGAGTGTACGATGCCTGGCGATGCTACAGTACTTTGGAATACTGATGCACTCGGGAAAGTGATGCTTTTGCCTTCGTACTGTCCAATGTTTTGAAATTTTGAATCGGACTGTCCGAAACTCGCTATTGCAACTGTCCGTTTACATACAACCAGACAGTCCGTCAAAATCCATAAAAGCAAAAAAGAGACACGCCCTTATACCGGTAGTCAATAATTACATGCTGAATTAGTGAATTATATACCTACATGCGCATGATCGTATCACCCCGGATATAAGCGCACCTGCACTTATAATAAAACAGTGTTTTTTAGGGGGGTGCACTTATAATTGAGTAAAAAATATACGCGCATGCGCTTATAAAATGACAAATACAGATACCGGTATATAATTTTAAGGCACCAAATTTTACATCTCATCCCTTCAATTTTAATAAAATCGAAATTGTCAAGTGTCACGGACCAGGCCCTCGGATTCACTTTAAGGGTCGTATACCCATTAGTGTCCCCTTGTGTGTAAACACTGATTGACAGTGTTACCAAGAAAAAAAGGCTGAAATGACAGTGTTGTCCTAATTTAGAGTCTGATCCATCAGGGTTTCAAAATTAAAAAAGCTGTAGCTATTAAACGTCCTGGTTTTAAGCACAGGAAGACAGTAGCTTCCTTCCTACCTAGAACAGACTAGCTGCTCTTATCTAATAGGGGTCATGCGTCCTTCAGCATCGGAATCAAAGTCTTCATCATCACTCCCCTGCACCTTGGGTTCTTCCCACTCCTCAAGTGCCTCCTTTCCCCTGCCACTTCCCTCCCCCTCTCTTGCTGCAGGTGTTGCTGCTGCTGCTGCTGCCACATTTCCAAATGGCCGGCGCTTCTTGTAGCTGCGCCAGATGTTCACCAGTTCGTTGTAGTCGGGCTCGTAGTCGAGGAGCGACATTGTGACGAGATCTTCAAGCCGTGCGTCTTTGAGGCTCCC